GAGAGCCCGTCTCGAAACCCGAATTGTTTGTTTGAGATGATTTTATATTTATTGAGGTAATCTTTTAAACGTAAATTTAAGGCTTTTTCTGCTATTTTTGTAAAAGTTGTTATTAAACTAATAGGTCTGTAGTTTGTAAAGATTTTTTTAATTCGGCTGGGAACTCACCTTTATCAAACATTTTATTAATTAGATCCATCAAAAGTGGTGCTAATGTATCAGAATTTTCTTTTACTAATTCTGAGGAAATATCTATTCCAGGCGATTTTTTGTTCAAAAGTGAATTAATGATATTATTTATTTCTTTTTCAGTTACTGGTAGTAGCGCAAGAGTTTTTGTGAATATTTCTGACCGGAGGTGGTGAGTTTGGGTCATCTATTTTATTTGCAAGTGATGTGCCTATTTCTGAAAAAAATTTATTAAATCTTTCTGCTATATCTTTTGCGTCTGTAATATTTTTCCCTTCATCTGTAGTTATTTCATGTATTTCTCTATTACTTCTACTATCTCCTTGTATTTGTTTTATAGTGTCCCATAACCTTTTCGAACTAGTTTTATTTTCATTTATTTGTTTGGTGTAAAAATCTTTTTTAACTTGTTTAATTAATTTATCTGTAAGTGTTCTATAATTTAAATATCGCATTTTTTTTTCAATATCATCAAAATTCTTTTTGTGAATACTGTATAAACGGTTTCTCTCTTTTATTGACTTTATAATTCCTTCTGTTATCCATTGTTTTCTTTTTTTATGGTGGTCTTTTTGTTTTATTAATTTTGTATTGTTTTCTAAAAGTAAATTTAGAGTTTCTGTTAAGTACTTAACTTTTTCATTTACATTTTCTATAGAGTAATAAGTTTCCCAATTTTGATTACCTAATTCTGGTTTTATTTTATCGTAATTAACTTTTTTAACAAATGACGTTTTTGGATACACATCAACTTTTAGAGGAAAATATGCAATAGTAGCTTTATGGTCTGTTATTTGTGTATCAAAAATTGCCGCCGTATAATTCTCTAAGGTAGGTGCATTGTAACTATAAAAAATGTGATCTAAACAACTTTTTGAGGGTCCCTTTTCTCGTGTATATTTATTTATCAGAGATACAAAATTAAATTCTCCTAGCGTATCTAAATAGGAGGAGACTAAATCAGTATTTTGTTTTATATTTATATTAATGTCTCCTACAAAGATATGTTTATGATTTTTTAGGTTGTTTTTTGTTTCTTCCAGATATGTCCGAAGGTTATCAACAAATTCTTCCTCCTTGATGGGTGGTGGTTTGTAAAGTGATGTTATAACAAGTTTATTTTTATTTTCTAAATGAATTATTGATCTTATTGCTTTACACTGTCCTATTTGGATTATATCAGAGTTAATTATTAAGTTTTTTTTTTACAAATATTACCACTCCATCATTACGATTTATATCTCCCTCATTATATATTATATTGTAATCTGTTAGCTGAAATGTATTTAAGTCTGGTATTTTTAGTGTTTCCGTTAAAACAATAAAATCGAAATCATGATTTAACCGTGATAGAAATATTTTCAACTCTTCTAAATTCTTATTAATGCTACATATATTCTGATGGAATAATTTAAACATACAAGTATTAACATTTTTATAGCAATTATTTATTTCATCTACACTTTTAAATTCTACGGTATCATAAGATTCATAATTTACGTCTCGAATATACGGGTCCATTTTTGTTTACCAATTTATCGTTGTTTTTTTTTATGTATTATCTTACTTTAATACTTTTCTAACAATCAATTGTGTTTTAAGATTAATTTGAATAAAATCAATAAACGCTCAATTATAATTAATAAACTCTAAAATAGAATGAATAACCGCTAAAACAGAATCAATAAACTCCAAAATAGAATATTGGCTACTCTAATAAAATGCCATTATGTAGGGAAATATACACAAAAAAATTAGATCAGAATATATATAAAAAAGACGGAACAATATAAAAAAAATAATTTGGAAAAATAAACAATTTAAAATTTCAACTATAAATAGAAATAGGTTCATACATACTTAAGACTAAGCGTCACTTATTATTGGTACGATTTCTGGTTGTCCTGGAATCTGCAACTTGTTGGGCCTGATGACGTGTCGAAGGTTTCCTTCCTTGTCCCGTAGATCCGTTACGTCCAACTGGAGTTACGGTGGTAGGAGGTTTAACAGTAGTTGTTGGTTTAGCGTCTGTTTCTTTAAAAACTTCATCTACTGATTCCTTCCTCAATGATACAGAAGGAGTTGGAGGCGCACTGTTTGACTTCTTATTCTGCGAGTCTTTAGAATCTTCTAAGACTTCCTCTAAGTCTGTTACTTCATAAACAATGCCGTCGACATGCAATTTTCCTTTTTTAATAAAACAGTTCGTTCCGTTCTCTTGCTTGGCAAGTAAAAGATGTTTTTTAAGTATTTTTGCGTCTTGTCTTTGTTTGAGTGTTTGGTCGTCTACAACACTAATATTTTTCCCTTTAAGCTTGTAACAGTTTTTATAAATACGTTGCTTAAACCAGTAATTTACAAATTCCACTTTCAATGGCTTATTTGCGGCTGCTCCCAATTTATATGTACAATTAATGTCCCTTGGGGAGTGAGATATCTAGAAGAGTGTTTAGATCTTCACATACCTTTTCGACTGTCACGTTCGTGGAAGAAGTGTTTAGGCCAAAAATTAAAATGTTATTTTTTTTCTCCCAACGTTGTTTGATTTCAATTTCTTCTTCTAAAAATTTGTTTTTCTTCTCTAGTTGTAGCACTCTGTTTCTTAATTCTTCCAATTCAAGAAGTAATCTTGCTTCTGAAGCTTCTATAACGCTAATAAGATCAGCTTTGCTTTTGCTAACTTCATTTAAGAGATCAGTTCTGCTTTTTATTATTTCATTGAAAAGTTCATTCGTAGTTACATTTTGCTCATTTTCAGGCATATTCTGCATTTAGTAATGTAAATAATTAATTTTATTTTTGAATTTGATTTGCAATTTCGAAGAATATTCCAGTTGGCTCAGTAGACACTTCCTAAATTATTTTATTTTAAAATATCATCGATTCTTTATCGCTTACGGTTTTTTGTAAGGCTTAGTATTTGTTTTTAATTGATAAAATTATTTAGATTTTATTTAGATTTATAATTAAGTTCTTTGAATAAGCTTTTCAATAAGTTTCTCAACAATTTATAATACTAGTAGCATAATCACCCGATTTTTCCCTTTAGTTTGATATAAATTTCAACTAATTTTGTTGATTCTTTCACTAATAAAATTAACAATATATACACAGTTCACAAGATCGCGACTTTCACTTGCATTAAATTAAATATACCATTGTCACATTCATTTTTTTCTCATCTATAGACATTATCAAACTTTTTAGAAAATCTTCTTTTGCAACGCGGAAAAAAGTGAGCTACTAATTTTGAAAAAATATACATTACTTTAACAGCTTAAAGAGTTGTTAACATGCTGGATTTCATTATTCTTAACTCGAAGATGTATTCATTAAAAAAAAACTCCCGTGCAATATAAAAGTTAATTTATAATAATTTATAATTCAAATCTCATTGTATACCTTTTAATTTCGGATATATTTTTTTAATAAACAAATGATAAAATTAATTTAAAATAATTGAGCGAAATTACTGTATGTAAAAATAACAAAGTGTACAGACATAAAACAAAATAAATTCAAATCACTTGCGTACGTTTATCACTTGTAAACAGTAGAAAAGGATATACATTTTGTTGGTGTCGCCCTCTAGACGAAAAAGCGTTTAAAGTATTTTTTTAATTTTCATTGAGAAAAATAAATGTTCCTGTAAAAATTAAAAACATATATTGTTCCCTTCTAGCATTTTTATTTGTATTTTGTTTTTTTTTTTTTGAAAGAAAGATATCATCTTACGTTTTCTCAAAATAAACCGATTCAAATTTTGTTCAAAAAGTGACTCCTTTACCTGTACTTACATAATTTTTAAAAAATAATCCGTAAAATTGGTGTACTACGAAACCCATTGCATATTATATAAATATGTCTATATTAGTATTACAGAAATGATTTACGTAAAACAATAAGGTGTACCTACAAATACGTAAACTTTAATTATCCCTCGTAAAACATCACTAAAATATTTTGTAAATTGTTTTCATTCACAAATATTAATTTCTTAAAAATCTAACAGAGGCGCCACTTGCCAGACGAAAAATCTTGCAATGTAAGGGTTTCGTAGTACCCCCACTTTTAAAGTTTATTTTTAAGTATTTTTAAAAGAAAAAATATGTACGTGTAGATAAAGGTTAAATCTATGTTCCTCTGGAACCACTTTTTCAAAATTCTACTTAGTTTTTTCTAAAAAAAATTGAGAAAATGGATCAAAAAAGTCGAGTTTTGTTTTTTTTTTAGAAAAAACAGATTGAAATTTTGAAAAAGTGTTTCCAGAGGAGCACAGATTTAACCTTTACCTACACGCACATATTTTTTTCTTTCAAAATATGTCAAAAATAAACTTTAAAAGTGGGGTACTACGAAACCCTTGCATGCTCTGCTCTAGAGCGAAGTAAATACTCCTCTTAACATTTGAACAAATAACAGTCAACCTAAGCCGGCTCTGATCAGCACGTTGGCGAACGATTCGAGAGGTTGCTAGATCATTGCGCTTTCTAGATTATCTTGCAACGGACTATAAACAGCATTAATTTAAAAATTACGGCAGGTTATTTATTACTCTTAAATTATTTTAAAACAACTTAAAATTAATAGTGATAACACTTCCCTAATAAAAGACTTCTTTATTAAAAATCTTAATATAATTCCATAAAATTATTATTATAATTATATAACATGAAAATTATTGCTAATATTAATAATTATTTAATTTTAAATAAATAGGTACATAAGATAAAATACTTAAAAAGCAGAAATCAGTCAAGGATGCTAAAAAGAAAACATAGTTATGTTTCAAAAAGAAAAGTAGAAATTAACTCCTTGAGGGAACTAGCAGGAAAAACAAATTAAGATAATGTTTAAAATTAGAATAAAATTAAAAATAATTAAATATAGACGAAATTGAAAAAAAAATGGTACTAGCGTTTTGGAAAAATGCTATTAGGAGATTATTTCACAAACGATGCAACACTGCATGAATGTACAGTTTGGCTTTAAACTCGTGTAGGGTTGCATCCTTCATGAGATAATCCACTACCTCTACCAAAGAAAATTATACAATGCAAAAAGTGAGACAAATAACAAGACTGATGAACAGAAATTTAAAAATTTGTAAAAGAACATAGACAAATTCACTTCTTTACAAATAATATATTTAACCATTTTTATTTAAAACCATGTCAATGTGTTGGTGTAATGTTTCTAACTGTCTTAACATTTCACTGTCCAAAGGGGGGATCTGAGACATCCTTAATCCCCGTTGTGGTAGCAAGCTTAACATTGATCCATCATCAAGTGGAATGTTTATGTTGGCCGTAATGTCTTCAGCGATTCCATTGACCAGGAGAGGACTTCCTTTAAAAGAAAGCGCTATTTCGCCTTTCTTGGGACGTCTCATAAGAATTTGAGCGGAGTTAGGTTTACACTGAAAGAAAAATTGTATTTTTTAAATTTACTAAGTAACAGTCTAAAATTATTTCACTGTATAATTTAATAAGTAAAAATTGATGTCTGTTTTGCTTTAAGACCACAGTACCACCCCCAATATTCGTAACATGAACTAATTTTGATAGATGTCATTTATGTGTCATAAATTCTTTTGTTCAACAGATGGCGTAATAATTTTATTAATTCTAAACGGTAACTGTTATAAAATAAAAAATTCATCACCGCTAGCTACTACGCGATAATAAGTAAACGAGTTCTTGACCTTGACAAATATTTTCGATGTAGCAGGAATAAAAATAAGTTTTGGATTAAATTCGACACATCGGTATATTTACTTAGTAGTTCATTCTTGTATACATGGTGTTTCGTTAAGAATGGGACATAGAACAACTGACGATTCTGATTAAAAATAAGACAACTAAACAAATCATGCTTAGATAAAATGTTTCTCGGTACCGAATTATGGTGTTAAAATCCAAAAAATATTTATAGCTATATTTTTTTAGTACTCACAAAAATTTTACTAAATTTGGCAAACGTTTTTGGTCTCAAATTATCCACCTATCAGCAAACAAATTTGTTACCTTAATTAACTTTTCCAGTTGTAAGAATGATTTTATTTTCTATACAATATTATTAAGTTTTATTTTACGAAACACCCGGTTCTTTTTAAACGCACGAAATATTTGTCTTCCAAAATAGCTACAGACTATGTTTACATTAACACCATTAAGATATGGAGATATCGGATTACGAATATGGGAACTAAGGGTAAAATATCGAAACAGGCATAAAATACAGATCATTCTGAATTTGAATTAGTTACTTTACGGAACAAAATTAAAGTTCGTTCCAATAATAATAATAAAAAAAAAACTAGTGAATAATAATTTTTGTGAGTGGCTGTTTGCTGAACAGGGTGAGTTTTTCTCACTGAGTAATTATGTTTTAACAATTAGTTTTGTTTTAATTTGTAATCAAGTTATTTTGCAAATTATATTACCCAATTATTATCCATTAACCTTTTATAGTTAATTTGTCAATTCTGACGTAAAGATATTTTGTCAAGTATTGAGAAAACCTTATATCCTAAATTAACGGGGTTATATTAAATAATTAAAACTTATTTGAATTTGACTATTTACTTATATTTTGTTTTCCTCTACGAGGTGTAATCAAAAGTAAAGTGAGTTAGATTGTCTGTTCTGGCGTAGTACATTGCGGTCAGTGTTTGAGTTTATTTAGGGATTATTCCCGGAGTCGTCGCACCATGGTTGGTGCGGGCTAGTGGCATTGCGGTCAGTGTTCTAGTAATGGCTTTTTATATATCGATCGATATTTGGGCATTGCGGTCAGTGCCTACAGAATTGAGAATATAACTTTTTGTCAATTATGGAAAATTTGAAGTTGTGTCAATTATATTTTTTTTTATAATCAATATTTTGACATATTTATCATATATAATTTTCTTGTTAATTAAAAGGATAATAAGTATTTTATTTATGGATATCACCTTTTCATGACTTTCTTTAATGTAAAGCTGTTTTTGGTAAACTTGATTACTCATACTTGTTTTCTTTTATTTCAGGTACGCCATCTCATACGTGCATTAAGTATTTTATCTATTTTATTTTAATATTATTTTATTTGCATTTTTTTTTTCATTTAATACTTATTTCTAAATAATTTTATTTTATTCTATATTTTATATTTCAATTTAAAGTTATTAAATCGTTTATTGAATTAATTTCTAGTTTTTCCTGACATAGATTAAATAACTAAATATTACCGCCCAAATTTATAATAGATATTTTTAAATTACAAATATCGTCCTATACAGTGGCGTACAGCATTGGTACGTAATACCGCACCCCTTCTAAATTTTACGTCACTATCCAAAATGTTATTTTGACATAAAATTTTAAATTTTTTAATGTTTTTGAAATAAATAATGTACTCTTCTTATAAATTTATTAAAAAAAAAAAAAATCGAAATTTAAAAACTTCTGAATTTTCAAATATGTGCGAATATCTCAAAAACTAACTCAACTTTATTTAAAAAACATCAAAAGTGGACAGTGGACTAAAATTTAGAAGGAAAAAAGATATTGCTTGCCCATGACGTACGCCACTGGCAAAGCTTATTTAACTTGTTTTTTTTGCTGATAGGTGTATTTTATTACACCAATAACGTTTGCCGAATTTAATAAAATTAAAATGAGTAATAAAAAAATTGTAGCTATTCATAATTTTTGATTTTCAACTTTAAAACCCTGTTTTTCGGAAACGAGTAATGTTTTACCTACGGACGTTTCGTTTATTCGGCTTATTTCTAATTAGTTAATCTTCAGTTGTTTCCATTCTTAATGGAATACCCTGTATATACCGAAAGGTCTTACAGCCAAAGAACCAAATAAAAAAAAAGAAAAATGTAATAAAAAAGTGTTTTTATTACCTTATACTCGTATACCCACAATAATTTATTTAGATCTGCATCAGTAAAAATTATTTTCAAAAAATTTAATCTCATTTATATGTAAGTTGGCGGTATCGGCATACGGAAAACTTTTTTAAGAATTTTAAGAAAAAAACTTATTTTTCATAAACAATTGCATGGTCTATTAATTTTAGAAAAAAAGTTACTTTACATAAAAAGTTATGCATGGTCTAAAACCTAAAATTCAATCATCTGATAACAAATTTTATCAGTCATATACAGTGTTGGTCGAAAATAAAGGTATTTTATCTTGAGCAAAACTATATTTTTTGACAAACCTTGTAAAACCGACTGATAAAATTTGATATCAAGTGGTTGCATTTTCTGTTAGACCATGCATAAATTTTTATGAAGAATAACTTTTTTTCGTAAAATAAATAATAAAGTTTTCTATTTGCTATCAACTTACATAGACATACTGTATGTATGCAACTTATAACATATTGCTGAGCTATTTTTTCAAGAAAAAAAAATTAATCATAAAATTTTACTTCATTTGTAGAGTCGTAATTTATGTTTTCATATTCCTACTTTTTTTATCAATTTAGAACTACAGTACTATTTTCAATTATTAATAAAAATTACGTGTGTATTTTAGATTAATCAATAAGAAAAATAAGCATTTTTGAAATATTAATAACTAAATACAAATTAAACAACAAATGAATAAAAAAGCATTTAAAACACGTTGACTGCCGAAGCAAATGTTGTGGTCGGGTCTGCCGAGCCGAAGTAGTTTTTCTAAAAATTTAAGTCTGTTTTTACGTTTTAAGAGCAAAGTAGTTTAAGTAAATACTTAGGTAAACTACAATATCTAATAGAAGCGTAAATAAATATATAAACGCGGCGCGGGATTAAATTATTACAAACATATGTCGCGTGCATATATTGTGAATAATATATTCAGGTTGTCTCATTAGTGCGTAATTGTTCAATATTTCAATTTGTGTTGTAGACACGTAAACAATTTCTAAATAAAAGTTATATGAATTTCAAAAATAGGTATTTTAAAGATATTTTTAGATATACAGGATTTTGCGTTTTTGTCTGACAAATAAAACGGTATATTTTTTAAGTAGAAAACCCTGTATTTTACTTCAGTTTTAGAATGCTTTAGTAATACTGTATTTAACCCTAGAATTTTATTAACAAATATTGCAGGGTTAACAATAAATTAATTTTTTTTATAAAATTAAAGAATGATTCAGACCCCAAATTAAATTATCATTATTTAGGCAGGTTTAAAATAATTTTAAATTTTTTTTAAAATGTAGTAATAAGATACTAAGCTAACGAATAGTGGTAATAGAACTGGATTATTTTATACAGTGTCAAGTCTTAAATATGGCTAATTCCAAGTTAAATTTATTTAATTTTTTTCAAAAGCCATACCCTGTATATTATTTAAGCATACAATTCCTTATAAATTAACATATCCAACGATACCAATATGTTAGTCAATAACACATATGAGTGCGTAATTGATCGATAGTAGTTTTATAATAGAAAATACGAAAAAACTTAATATACAAGTTGTATGACCATATTTAACAATTATTTATAAATATATAGGGTAATACATAAACGATTGTCTGACCAAACCTATACATTTTTAAAGCAAAACACCCTTTAGGTAGTTATACATATTTGACTGTTTTCACATCGTCGAACAATAATTTCAATTTCATTCATTTGCTATGTTGTATATAGGGTGTGTCAAAATGGTTACGATTTTTCAATTTTCTAAATGGAACACCCTGTATGTTATGCCACCAATTAATATAATAGTCCATTGAAAAAATTTTAAACATTCGTAACCTCGCGTGTTGACACACCCTATATATAACATAGCAAATGAATGAAGTCAATTAAAATTATTTGACGACGTGAAAACAATCAAATATGTATAACTACCTGCAGGGCGTTTTGATTTAAAAATGTATAGGTTTGGTCAACATCTCGTTTATGGACCACCCTGTATATATAGGAATAATTTTTAAATATAGTCATACAACTTTTATATTAATTTTTTTTCTTATTTCTAATAATAAAACAGCTATCGATCAATTACGCACTGATGAGACACTCTGTATATATGTTATTCTCTAACATGTTGGTATCGTTGGATATGCAAATTTATAAGGAAATGTATGCTAAAATATTATATCAAATGCTGCCTTTGAAAAAATTGAGTAATTTGACTTAAAAGTAACCATATTTAAGAGATGTTTTGAAAACACTCGCTATAAAAGAATCCAGCACTATCACTATTCGTTATCTTAATGTGCTATAAGTCAGTGTATTAAACAATTTTGAAATCTCAATGTAATCCTACCTAAATTATGATAATTTAATTTGGGGTCTGCATCATTTTCTAATTTTATAAAAAATTTAATTGCTTGGCAGACCTGTAATATTTTTTTAATTATTCTAGGGTTGAATACAGTATTACCAAACCATTCTAAAATTGAAATAAAATA